GAAGCTTCCCAGAAGAGTGGAAGCTGTTACAGCTGCAGAGGGGGGCGTGTAACGTAGGTGTAACGTAGGAGGTGTCCCAATACTTTTGTCCATATAGTGTATTTATTGTGGGGTCAGGTGGGGTCAAGTGGGGCAACAGCAAGGAAAGCAGATGGGTAAACACTCAACTACTGGACTGCAGACCTAATTGGCTGAAAATCAAATTTCCTTTTACAGATATTTCCCTACTTCCTTTCCTGTCTCTCTGATTGGCTGTTGCCTGAATTGCTCTACAGGAATTGTGAATTTTTTGAGTCATAATATATTCATGAATATTCATAATATTATCATGGTTCAAGTCCTCTGACCACTCTGGAGCTCCAGTGGGTGAGTTAAATAAACTAAACAGTGTGGGCCCAGCTGTAGTTCAAACGTACTGTATTACAAGTCTGTGTGTTCTTTGTTTGTAGATGACCAGCCATGTCTGGACACAGATAAAGGACCTGCTGTGCCAGCGTGGATGTTTGTACTGATTGCTGCACTTGTAGCTGTGATTGTGATACTGGCTGTGAAGATTGTGCAGCTGAGGAGAGAAAATCAGATGCTCCGTAACCAGCGCATCTGAGAGGTCATCACCATCCCATCAGTGTCTCCGAAGTTCTTTTGCTCATTACTTCGCTCTACCATTCATTGCATGTTTGTGAGAGACACAGGGAGAGACAGAGAGACTCTGCTTTAGTGCTTTAGTGTGGAAGATTAATGACTTCTTCACTAAAAAGTATTTTTGCTCTTTCACTTCCATCTGGTCACCTTCTTTCATATAGCTGCCTACATGTTAGCCAGTTACCTACACTGTAAAAAAAAATGATGTCTGGCAGCAAAAGTTGCCAAATAGTTCCCGTAATTTTACAGTAAAATTCTGTACAGTAGATTACTGTAAAATTACAGCTTTTCCTTGTAAATATTCTGTGTAGTTTTACGGCCAAAGTTTAGTAGAATTACAAATTTTCATTGTTAAAAAACATCTCTAGAATGTATTAAAATCACGGAAATACTGCATAAATACACTTAAAGTCTGCAACTTGAGAGTTGCTAACTTTTAAATAACAGTGTAATTAAGTAATTTCATAGAATTATTTAATCAATTTACAACATGCACCTGTCAAAGTACAGATTTTTAAAGTAAAATAAAGAAACATTATTTATATTAACGGTCACTTTACTGTCTTTTCAATCCTATTAAACATTTATCAATAGACATAATCAGTCAATAAATGTTCTTATCCTACAAATTTACAGTGGATAACAGTTAAATGTTGGTTGATCCGCCTACCAGCTGTCACAATGTACTGTTTATCCACAAGACACCGCTGTTACATCACTGGATTCTACTGGTTAAATACAGAAATACAATGGAAAATTACATGTAATTCCCCAATATTAAAGTAGATGGTTAACATTTTTATTTTGTAAATATTTTTAAGAGGAAAGACAATGTAACAGTGTGGTAAACGTGCCTCTGTCCCAACTTTTTTTGAGTGTGTTGCAGGCATCAAATTCTAAAATTATTTTAAATAAGTTAGTCAGTGAAATCTTTTCTTTATACTGTTGTCAGTTAATATAGATTCAAGATCATTAACAAATCACAGATTCTTGTTTTATCGCATTTTACAAAATGTCCCAACTTTTCTGGAAATAGGGTTTGTATTTTAAGGATTGGGACTTGATCACATCAAATATCTGATAGGATGACACGTCACTGTTCATTCTCACTGTGCACTTTTGTTTTCTTCAGTCTCAGTCCACTCACCCTTAACCGTCTCTACATAACAGTTTAAAGAACAAGGCATCCATTAGGAATATAATTCCAGGCTTTAGACACTGTGGGATCTCTCAATGATCTTGTTAGCTACCATTAAAGCAGTGACCTCTGCCTCACCTGTGAAAAAAGAAAATCAAACATGTCTCTGTTTTAGCCTGGAACCTGACGCGTCCTGTGCACTTTTAAATCAATTTAGCATCCATACCACTGTAATGTAACATGCAAAAAATCTGAAATCATGATAACTGTTGTTGTTCTGCAATTAATATCTGAATTAGCTGATCAACTGGAAGTTACTGACTTCTGATGACTGATTTGCCACTTTCCTCTGCTCTGTGTCATTGTCTAACCTTTAAGATTTTGTTGTCTGATAATTTCTAAAAAAAATAAAAAATCTTGAATCATAGTATGTGCAAACTGTAGCGAGAGCTGAATGATTTGGGGAAAATATCTAATTGCAATTTTTCTAGCCAATATTGCAATATGGATTTAAATGTAGTTATCTTCTATAAATTAATATTATTATTATTTTGTTGGCAAAGACGACCAGAATATCCACTTTTTCTGGCTTGAGGCGCTGAACACTGAGTGAGCAAGACTACCATTTAGTGGTTATCGCACACACAGCACATGCACTGATCAAACTCATCTACAGGCAGTTCACAAGCTCTGTATGATTTGTTGAAATGTCCTCATTTAAACCTTGTTAATATATATTTTCTATAATAAATATTGCAGCTCTGTGATTTAAATATAAAAGCGATTAATCTGTCAGGCCAAGCTGAGGCACAAATAGCACCATTCCAGCCTTCATACGGCATCATTACTTAACTTCCTAACGTTATGTGAACATAACCAAAAACATACCTTGGGCGCGGTCGCCCTTTGCTTGTAGGAATCTTTTGAAGATGTGGGAACACAGCAAAATGTGTCCCTGATGCAGCACTGAACGGAGGTTTCCTGACAGGGCAGAAGTGAAAAAAAGCACAAGAAACAAAACAAGAGTTAAAATTATAATTACTGTTTAAGTAGTTCCCAACATTTTCACTGGGTTTTCACTACTACCCTCGTCGGGCTGATAACAATAATCACATGCAGCTCTTTGTGCTTCTATCAAGAGCCACATCTTTCATCTTTACGGTTACGGTCTGCGCTCTCTGACCCGCGGCCCTCTCTCTGTCTGCGCTCTCTGACCCGCGGTCCTCTCTCTGTCTGCGCTCTCTCTCTGTCTGCGCTCTCTGACCCGCGACCCTCTCTCTGTCTGCGCTCTCTGACCCGCGACCCTCTCTCTGTCTGCGCTCTCTGTCCGGTTTACAGCTATTCAGTCACTCCTACGGCGGGTCGTTTATCCACTCATGAGGCCGCTCAGTTTCTGTCTGTAGTCAGTCGGTTTGGCCGCTACTGCCGTTTTCAGACGAGCCCAGTTCGGGGGTGAAACAGCGCCCCTGGCGGCTCTGGGGTTAAAACCTCAGCTGTGTTTAACGTTAAATCCGGACACCCAGCCAACTCAGCTGACCCTCCTGTTAGCCTGGACTAAACACTTAAGTTAGCTCAGTACTGTTCGCTCACTGCTGCTAACACTGTTGTTCCCAATACAGAGACTAAATGCAAACTGAGCCGTTTTCACCGCAGCGAAGCAGCAGGTCTGTAAAATAAACCCTCCTCGGAGCTGAACATGAAGACATGGTGTGAACAGGGACTCCGGGCAGCCGGGCTGGGATCTTCCTGTGTGGTTCAGTGTGAACGCGCTCCCGGTGCAGCTCGCGCTCAGATTCAAACAAGGGATGCTCGACATTCATTGGCTGAACAGACCATAAACACGACTTTGTCCAGTGAACACACAGCTGTCTGCTAAACTTATTTTCTGTGGTTTCTAAACTTTAATCCTACCAAATATAAGACAACAGTATACCTTTGAACTGATATTACAATTTACTGCCTATTTTAAAGAGAAATGTTGTGAATTACTGAATGGTTTGATAGTTATTTGAATTTTTTAAACCTCATCATTTTAGTCAAAATATCTGGTCTGATGCTGTGTGCTAGTTAATAATATGTACGTTTAAATTAACTTACCATACATTAACTGTTTTAAAACAACAAATTACTGTTCATTAGGTGTTATAATGTGCTTATTACTTATAATTACAGCAAACATGCGTTAAAAAAACAATGTTCTGTATTTTTAAAAAAACGCACAAAGAGAAGGACAAATGTACAACAACTATATTGGTCTGTATTTTTACACTGATATCTGTGTTTTTACAATGATAACTACTAAATTCACACTCAAAATTCTTAGAAAATGGTACAACAACGTTAAAAAAACAGTGGATTCTTGTAATTTAAAATAACAGACTTTGACTGTATTTTTACAGCAGATTTATTGAAAAAGGTGATTTTCCTGTATTTTACAGGTATATTCTCTTATCATGAAAAATACAGAAAAACCTGTATTTTTTTACAGTCAATGTCTGTAAAAAATCTTTTTTTTACAGTGTATCTTAGATAGGATGTGTCAGCATAATGGCAGGTAATATTGTGTGAGGCTACAGTGGCGCATCTTTTTTTGTCTAACAGCTCTGGGCCGCCCCATCTCTGTGTCCCATGGGCGCATGACCAAAAATGCATGAAAGTTAGGATGATATGGTGATCTAATTTGTTCTCAGTTTAGCAGTTAGGGGCTACTTGTATTTATACAGCCACAGCAACAAAAATAAAACAATTGTTATTTTATTTATTTTCCCCCAGAGGGGCAGCTCACCCAAAAAGGGCAAATGGGCCGTTGCTTAGGAGCTTTAGCCTGGCCTTGTGCATGTCCTTGAGTGATGTAAGTAGCACACAATGATGACCCTGTTGGAAACTTTTGAAGAGATGCTAAAGTAGCTTGTTTGCCATTGACAGTGAGCTGATTATCAGTCCATAGAAGGTCTTCATTGTTTCAGATGAATCAGTCTGTAACTAAAGTGGTTGATCAGATTGATCAGATTCAGTGTGAACTGAAGCTTCATGATTACAGGCGACTCCAGGCAGCTACTGATGTCTTCGCTACTTTGAGTTTCACACTCAGAGAAGTGAAGGAAGTGTTTATGTTGTCTGTCTTCAAAGAAATGAAGCTTCCACTGATGTTATTGAGTGAACGTTTGTCCTCTCGATCAGTGTTTGTTCATCTGCTCTGCTGACCCGCAGCTCTGCACAGGTTCTGGGCTAACTCAGCACACCTGATCCAGATGAGAACAGTGAGAGAACAGTAAAACCGTGCAGAGCTGTGTGTCACCAGCAGCACAGTTAGACCCCATCAGCTCATTAACAAACCCTCACTGAGCTAAAACAGCCGTGTCAGAGCAGGAAAACACTAAGAGGTTCTCCAGGATCAAGGATGTAATAGAAGACTAGATAAATATGTGAAAGATGAAAGATTTTGGTATGTAAATGTTTCGTGTGCATTCAAAATGATTTGTATACCTGTGTGTGTGTCATGTTATCTAGATTTACATCTGATACTTTTTAATGTAAATTTTAGACACTGGGGGCTTTGTTTAATATAGATTTTGTACTTTGTACTTTGGTGGGTTTGACGTTTTTGTACTTGTTCACATTCTCTGTTATTGTGCCTCGTATAAGATCTGTTTTGAGAGTAGAACAGACACGAGCCAGACTGAGTTCAGTGGGAGACACAGAATCTTGACAGAATCTTGTATCTTCATTTTTGGATGGAGACATTATTATTATTATTATTATTATTATTATTATTATTATCATTATTATTATTATTATATTATTATTAGCATTTTAATTTATTTGCCTTTTTGCATGATAATTGAACACGTTCTGTTTGTACTGTTTTAATTCATTTCATGGTGAAGTGATACTTAAATCTAAGAGCTCTCGTCCTCATTTTTATACGTTTCAGTCTGATTTGTTTGAAATGTTCGATCGTATTAATTTAAAATGAAGCAGAGTGATGAATGTCAGGTGTCAAACTCCAACATTTCTGATTCTGAGGGCCTGTCAGCCACTTCACCTCTGTGCCCTTTTTGAGTGACATACAGAGAGTTAACCGCTGTTCCTGAGTTCACACCAGCGTTTCTGTGGGTGTGTCTATGTTCTTTCCAGTGTCCCAGTGTGTTCTGTTTACTGAAGCAGGATTAGGCTTGTTTACATCCTACTGATTAATTAAAATCCCAGCTTATTACGTACTAAGACTTATTATTCAGTAACTACAGGGACTTCAGTGCAAACTGGCGGAGCTGCTCGTAGGTTATAGAAGCACACTCATGAAAAAGACGGTTCTTTAGTAAAGAACATGGTTCTATGTAGAAGCATGAACATTCAAAGAACCCTTTGCATCATGAAAGGGTTCTTCAGACGGATGGAGAATGTGCTGCAGAAACAGTTCTATATAGAATGTTTTTGAAAACAGTTCCATATAGCACCAAAAAGGGTTCTTCTACTGTTATGGCCAATCTTGTCACAGTAGAGGAACCTTTTGAACCCTTTTCGTTTCTAATTGATAATTATAAACAATAGATTCAAATTTGCTGCTGCCATCAAGTTCTAAACGAGGTAAGGTTTTTATGAAATGGTAAATTCTCTTACTTTTCAACATCTGATCTGTGTTTTGTGTTCTGTTGTGAGTAAAATATGGTCTATGAGATTTACCAATCATTGCATTCTGCTGTAAATAAGGTCAGCTGTAATAAAGTCTTTTATGGATGAATTGTTGTAAATGTATGTAATGTGATGATTTCTCAGTTTGAACTGTCTCAGTTTTAGTGTTCAGATTAACCTCGTTATGCTGGTGGGTATATTTTGGTTTGTCCATCTGAATTTACATGAGCAAATCATAAGGCAAATTATTCAGTAACTGCAGGAAATAAATGTAAATTTTTATTTTATTTATTTATGTATTTATTTATTGTAAAAGCTCCCCTCAAATTAACAGAACATGTGTTTATGATACACATATTGCTGTATGCTCACAATTTACTGCTGAAAGCCAAAAATTTTAGACACTCTTTGTATTATTTTATAAAATAATGCTTACAGTGCTGATCACTGAAAAGACACCATCTGTTTAAAAAAAAATAGTGAAAAAATTGTGAGTTCAGCTTATTATAAGGGTTTAAAATGACATCACCATCTATTTGACTGGAAGAAGACAGTTACAGCCTCATACGACCCCCACCTTTAGAATGTAGCTTATGAAATATGAACGTTATGAAGAATATGACGAAGTGCGTTTTGGAACCACTGGTGGTCTCGAGAAGTTTAAGAGGTTAAACACCAAACGAAGTAAGAATGAGCCGTGAAGAGCTACGGTCAGATCCCTTTACTTCAAAAGCTTCAGACTACAGCCTAAAGAAAACACTTATTTGTGATGTTTTTTTTATGGAAGTTGGAGATTGTGGTCAGGTATCTGACCATCCCATGTTCCTAAAACAAAGTGAAAGAAGTCCAGCCTGTCAGTGCAGCAGAGTGAGAAGAGCAGAGTTCAGAGTTTCTCAAGGTGAGTTAATTACGTTAACAAATACTCATATTAAGTAAAAACTGAGTAATGATACTGCTTTTCAGATAAAAACAAGAAAAGAATGCTTTTTTACACTCTGATGGACAGTGCTCGGCAGCTCAACAGTTTATATGTTATTATATCATCCACATACGAAACAAAACTAGTGTTAAAATTATATAAACTGTGTTTGAGACTCAGACGAACTCGTTTCATTCCTCTATAACTTTGTGCTGCTTTTGTAGTTGCCTGTGTTGTCAGGTTTCTGGTGAAATAGAGTTGAATCTGTCACTATTGATTAACATTAAGAGTTCCAGACTGTAGGATTGGATGAAAAACATGAATCAGCACCCTGGACTCTTCACTGTATTAATACTGTTTCACTTTTTTCTGCTTATTACTGCTGAGGTTTAAAAATGTCTGCCAGTTTGTTTGCTTGTTTGTTTTTGTGTTTGTTTGTTTAGACAGCTGATAGAGGTGACTGAGCAAATAAATCCGCAGCAATTTTTTACAGCTACAAAAACACACACTGCTCCCCCGGATTAGAGTTCACGATGTGTCAAATGTTGGTCTGCAATCAGGAGAACTTTCTGTTCCTTTTTCACACCGTTTAGATGACCGATTCTGCCTGACATCCACTTTTTAAATGTCAGTGTGTAAAACCAGTGTTTAAAGTGAGGTGGCTGTATTGGTCAGTAACATGGGACAGTGTAATCCATTTACACAGTCGCGTTCCGTTTTGGCTGTAACTGTAATGATGCTGCATGGGGCACCAGAGCTTTGTGAAACTAACTTCATTTAGAGAATGTTTAACTGGGATTTACAACCCCATTTCCAAAAAGTGTGAAAAATGTTAATAAAAATAAAATGCAAGAATGTGCAAATCAGTTAAACCATATATTTCATTGAAAATAGTACAAAGACCACATATCAAATTTTGAAACTGAGAGATTTTATTGTTTTTTGAAAAATATATGCCCATTTTGAATTTGATGCCAACAATACATTTAAAAAAAATTGGGACAGGGGCAACAAAGGGCTGGCATAGTTGTGTAATGCTAAAAAAAAAAATCTGGTGGTTGATTGGCAACAGGTCAGTAACATGATTGGGTATAAAGAGCATCTCAGAGAGGCGGAGTCTTTCAGAAGTAAAGATGAGGAGGGGTTCATCACTCATCAAATAGTGCAACAATTCAATAATAATGTCAATGTAAAACAGAAAAGAATGTTTGCTTTTCATCATCTACAGTACATAATAACATTAAAAGATTCAGAGAATCTGGAGAAATCTCTGCATGTAAGGTACGAGGCCAAAAACCAGTATTTGCTGGTCGTGATCTTTGGGCCCTCAGGCAGCACTGCATTAAAAACAGACATGATTCTGTAGTGGAAATCACTGCATGGGCTCAGAAACACTTCTGAAAACCACTGTCTGTGAAAACAGTTCATCACTGGATCCATAAATGCAAGTTAAAACTCTACAATGCAACGGAGAAACTGTACATAAACAGGATCCAGAAATGCTGCCACCTTCTCTGGGCCCGAGCTCTTTTAAGTGTCCTGTGGTCCGACGAACCAGTATTTGAAATTCTTTTTGGAAATCATGGACACTGTGTTCTCCGAGCTAAAGACCACTCAGCTTGTTGTCATTGCACAATTCAAAAGCCAGCATTCATGATGGTGTAGGGGGCATTAGTGCACATGGCATGGGCATGCACATCTGTGAAGGCACCAGTAATGCTGAATGATATATACATGTCATGGCTCCGTATTAAAAGAGTCCGGGTGCTAAACTGACCAGCCTGCAGTCCAGACCTGTCACCACATTTGGTGCATTATGAAATGAAAAATATGACAAATGAGACCCCTGAACTGTTGAACAGCTGAAATCCTGTATCAAACAAGAACATTTCACTTTCAGAACTACAGCAGCGTCTCCTCAGTTCCCAAACACTTACAGAGTGTTGTTAAAGAAGAGGTGATGAAACACAGTGGTAAAAAGGCCCCCATCCCAACTTTTTTGTGTTGTTGGCATTCAACAACAATTCAATTCAAAATGGACATATATTTTTCAAATAACAATAAAATTTCTCAGTTTCAACATTTTATATATTGTCTTTGTTCTATTCTTAATGAAATATGATTTACATAATTTGCATATCATTGCATTTCTGTTTTTATTTACATTTTGCACAGCATCCCAACTTCTTTTGGAAATGGGGTTGTACGTTCACTGCTATGAGACCGCAGCAAAGGTGAAAAAAGAGTCCCACAGTTTGTCTTCATTGCTTAAACACACTGTCTCTGTTCTCTAAAACTCACATACACATCCTCAAAACACTAGAACATTTAGCAGGTTGTCCCACACTGAGAGCTAATTTAACCATCAACGCTCTCCTAAAAATGAAATATTCACATCTGTCATATGAATTTCTACAGCAAACCAGATTTTTCACACTTCTTGCTGGGTTTTTAGAAAATGCAGACATGCAGACGAGAAACAACGAAGACAGACTGCAAATAATAAACTCAGACAGAACAGAAGACAGAAGAAGCCTCATTAGAAACATTTACAATGAGTTGTTTCTAAGAATAAATAAATAAATAAATAAATAAATATGTAAGATCCTGTCTCTCATCTCGATTTGGCCACAAAAAGGTGATCTATAGAGTGATCTGCTGAGGAGCACTGAGCTCATAGACCTTCTGTTGCGAATATGGTGGGAGGTGTAAATGTCCATCTATACCTATTTGTGATGTATTTATTATATATTTTGATATTCATGGGAAAAGACTCTGTAATGTTTGTCCAGTTGCAGTCACAGCTCTGTAACTAGAGACTCTGAGTTGTGTGCCAGGGAGCAATAACAGCCTCAATTGAGATAAAGTCCAATAGCTATGAGAACTTTATAATCTTAATATAAGCACGAGAGAAATGTTCGTCTTCTGTCAGTCCTCAGGATCCTCCTCTTAGACCTTCAGCTTTCATGAACTGGTAAGAAGCTTTCCAGTACAGATTTGAGTCAGCAGACCATTCAGCTGATCCGAACGCACCAGCAGCAGCGGTCAAGTGTGCTGCCCAGGTTTTAACAATGAGGAAATGCAATAGATCAGTTTCACAATATCACAAGTTTCACATTCTTCAGCAGAGTTGCGTGTAGAACAGACTGAAACTGAAACCATCTTCAGTGCTTTTACACTTTAACGGCATCATGTTGCCTTCAAGTCCTGTCAGAAATATCATTTATGGATGTACATGAACAGAACCACAATGTTATAGTTTTAAATATGTTTCTCTCTCTCCTCTCCTGGTCAGTACTGATGGTGTGTGTGTCTGTAGGTCAGTTCTGTTCTGTCTTTCTCTCTTTCTCTCTCTCCTCTCTGGTCGTATGATGGTGTGTGTGTCTGTAGGTCAGTTCTGTCTCTCTTTCTTTTCTCTCTCCTCTCCTGGTAAGTACTGATGGTGTGTGTGTGTCTGTAGGTCAGTTCTGTTCTCTCTTTCTCTCTTCTCTCTCTCCTCTCCTGGTAAGTACTGATGGTGTGTGTGTGTGTCTGTAGGTCAGTTCTGTTCTCTCTCTCTCTCCTCTCCTGGTCAGTACTGATGGTGTGTGTGTGTGTCTGTAGGTCAGTTCTGTTCTCTCTCTCTCTCCTCTCCTGGTCAGTACTGATGGTGTGTGTGTGTAGGTCAGTTCTGTTCTCTCTTTCTCTCTTCTCTCTCTCCTCTCCTGGTCAGTACTGATGGTGTGTGTGTCTGTAGGTCAGTTCTGTTCTCTCTTTCTCTCTTCTCTCTCTCTCCTCTCCTGGTCAGTAC